TTACCAAGATATGCTGTTTTAACTCCTCTCATGTTGCAGGTGTAAGCGTGCCTTTTGTTAGCTTGAAATCAAGAGCACACGCCTGAAGTTTACAGATCTCTGGAGGAATGTGGATTCTGGGGGTTTGCAAAGCTCTTCAATAGCTTTGTCTAGTGAGAGAAGCGGGAGAGATCTGCTGCAGAAAAAGGAAACGGGAAAGCAAAGCTATAAACAAAAGGAAAAATAAGGGCGGTGGTGTCAGTTTTGAGCAAGTGGGTTCTTTTTCTTTCCCCATCTTATAAGTTTATTGAAAGCAGTAGCTGTCTTCAATCCATAGTTAAGCTTTGGGTGTCTTGATCTCTGTTGCCGGTTGAGGAAGCAACCCAGATCACTTGGTCTCGAATCACACTTATCTTTCCCCTCCTCCACTCTCTTTCCACCATCTCCTTTCCCTGGATTTGTGGGCTAGATTCGGTCATACTAAGAAACACTCCTTTAGCAGGTTAATCCCAGCTTTTCTTCTTTGGTGAAAAAGCTCCCACCTTTAAAGTGTTTGGAAAGCCTTTCCTTAGCTGGGATTGGAGTCTTCACTCTTCAAGAAGAGGGCAGGAGCTGTTATTTTGAGTTTTGAGGAAAGATGAAGTTTATGAAACTTGGATCTAAGCCGGATTCGTTTCAGACAGAGGGAGATGATATCAGGTAAACAAATGAGATTCCTTCCTGATATTTGCTGCTTTTAATTCCTCTGGATGCTATCATTTGTTCTCAAATCTGTTACCTTGTCTCCTAGTCTTCTTTTGGATAACTGTCTTCCATTCCATTCCCGCCCTTGGGGATTTTGTTGCTGATATTGCACTTTGTTACCTACTGGGCTTTGTTTGTTTGAGCTAGATTTCTCTGGCGTTATTAATGAGTTGGCGTTTTTACAGTTTCAGCCGGTCTTGTGAAGTTAGTCGTTTCCATCAAACTTGTTTCTTTGTTTCCGTACCTGGATTTAACAGAGATGAGGTTTTGGTTTCCCGATTAGATAGATGGTGGTACTTTCTTGAGTTCAGTATTTAACACAGAAAAATGACAGTCAATTTGATTCAGTTCCAAATGTCAACCATGTGTCCAGTAAACCGCCATGTGAATACCCCATTTTTCCAGTTCTGGTTTGCTAACTCCTCTGTGCATTGAATTGATGGTTGAGACTTCTTTCCTCTTCAACAATTGATTTATGCCATTGCGGTTGTCCGGCACATAATCACATTGGTTAAGGAAACTTTGTAACTGCAGGTATGTGGCTACTGAATTGGCAACTGATATAGCAGTGAATGTTGGGGATGTAAAATTCTATCTTCACAAGGTAATGAATTCAGCAAATCCTGACATCATTGATGTAACCATGTTTCAAGGTTGATTGTTGAATGTTTTAATGGCCACACATTTCATTAAGTACCATGTGAGTGAAGGGTAGTAACCTGCTGATTTGGCTACGTACATATTTTTTGCCCCTTTTGGAACCGTTGTACGTGAATTTATTGTTTCCAAATTTGTTTGTGTAGTTCCCTCTATTATCCAAGAGCTCCCGTCTCCAGAAGTTGGTTTCGAGCTTGAACGATGAGGGCAGTGATGAAATTACCATTCTGGATATCCCTGGTGGTCCCGCTGCTTTCGAGATATGTGCAAAGTTCTGCTATGGCATGACGGTTACGCTCAATGCATACAATGTGGTTGCAGCTCGGTGTGCAGCAGAGTATCTCGAAATGTACGAGTCTGTAGAGAAAGGCAACCTGGTCTACAAGATCGAAGTCTTTCTCAACTCCAGCATTTTCAGAAGCTGGAAAGACTCCATCATTGTTCTCCAAACTACAAGGTCATTCCTCCCATGGTCTGAGGAATTAAAGCTGGTCAGCCGGTGCCTTGACTCCATAGCTTCCAAAGCTTGCATTGACACTTCTAGGGTGGATTGGTCATATACCTATAATAGGAAGAAGCTTCCATCTGAGAGTGGGAAGGATCCATTATGGAATGGTGGTAGGAAGCCGAATGAGGTTCCTAAAGATTGGTGGGTAGAAGACCTTTGTGAGCTTCAGATTGATTTATACAAAAGGGTTATTGTCACCATGAAAACAAACAGGAATGTATCCAGTGAAGTAATAGGTGAAGCATTGCATGCATATGCTTTGAGAAGACTGCCTGGTTTCAGCAAGGGCACCATTCAGAATGGTGATATCTCTAAATACCGATCTGTGGGGGAAACCATTATGTGGCTACTGCCAGAAGAGAAAGGCAGTGTTCCTTGTGGGTTCTTGCTGAAGTTGCTAAGAGCTGCAATTATGCTTGGCTTTGGAGACAGGGAAAAGAATGAACTGATAAGTAGAATCAGCCAACAACTTGAGGAGGCTACTGTCCCTGATCTTTTGATTCCAGCCCAAGCTGGGGGAGAGACGACCATGTTTGATGTTGATATAGTACATACACTTGTTGAGGAATTTGTGAAATGTGAACTGAAGGAGCAGGAGATCGTTCTTGTTGAGAGCATTAGCCCGAAGTTTGGTGCAGATGCCTCTAAGGTTCAAGTAGCTAAGTTGGTGGAGGGTTATCTTGCTGAAATAGCTCGAGATCCCGACTTACCACTCTCAAAGTTTCTTGACCTTGCTGAACTCGTATCAAGCTTCCCTAGACCATCTCATGATGGATTATACCGAGCCATTGACATGTATCTCAAGGTAACTTCCATTTTACAACTTTTATGATATTACAAACAAAACTTAAGCTTAAGATTGCAATACGGGCAGTTTGGAGCAGGGCATAGGTACTTGTGCCCCAACCTGCCCCATTCTCAACCCGTTTGATCCAAATTATCTCTAAAAATGTTCTTCGGAATCGATCTTATTTCGACTCAGCTTAATCATGCTTTTACTCTCAGCTTAACTACCACTATGTAGAACCTCCTCTTGAAGATCGACTTTATTAGTTTATGTCATTCTCTCCCATTCTATGTACATTGTATGTCTTTCGTATAATACTTACATGAAAAAAATCATTTGATTCCTTTTTTTTTTCCTTCTAAAATCACATTCCTGAATGGGCCGACCATGTTCTTGTCTGCGCCATATGCCAAATTGCTCAACCTTACCCGCACCTGCACCTGCTGCGGGGAGGGTATGAGCACCTCATCATGCTCGAATTTTATTTTTCTTCGTCTCGGGTGCTTTCATGACTAATATTTTGCCACCTATTTCAGGAACATCCTGGGATTAGTAAGAGCGAGAAGAAGAGGATATGCAAGCTGATGGACTGCAAGAAATTGTCGGCGGAAGCATCTATGCACGCCGTTCAAAACGAGAGGCTGCCATTGCGTATCGTAGTTCAGGTTCTCTTCTTTGAGCAAATGAGGCAGCAGGCTTCATCACCCGGTGGCAGCAGCACTCCGGATCTGTCGTCAAGCTCCATTAGGGCCTCACTCCCGGCCGGAGAGTCTCATGGAAGCTCGAGGTCAACCACAAGCAACACTGAGGAAGAGTGGGACTCGGTGCCAACAGCTGAGGACATAAAGGCATTGAGAGGCGAACTCGCCACCCTACGACTGGGAGGTAACAATGGTAGTGGTAGAAGCCAAAATGATGGCGGTAAGGCCAGAACTACTGATGCTGCTGCAAATCAAATGAAAGGTTTGGTGATGTCAAGGATGTTCTCAAAGCTATGGTCGAGCAAAGACCGAAATGGGGAGATTAGCAGCTCCGAGACGTCGGAGAGTCCAGGATCGAGCTATGTGGAAGAGACTACTACCAAGTCCACCCCATCAAGGAACAGGAGAAAATGATGTAAGTTTGAAATCATGGTGATCATGGTTGGTTACGTGTTTTAAACAGGGCAGTGCACTATGGTTTCCTACTTAAAAAGGACAGTTAGGACAGAGTTAGAGCCGACTGACAGTTTTAGTTTCAGCTGATGTGTTAGTCTGCAGTAAAAGGAAGGCTTCCTGTAATTGTTGAATGTAGTATGGGAGATGGGTGTCGTTTTTTTGGTTTCTAAAACAGATGATGGAACCTAAGATCCATTGTTTGGTTCCTTTTGTATGTGTTAAGGAGGCGTAATGCGGACTGACAAAGTTTTGATGTAGCGTGCCCAGAGAGAGTGCAGTTTGTAGAGGATAGAAAAAAATGTAACAATGACCTCTACTTGCAGCCCTACTTTCTTTTAGAGCTGAAAATTGCCTTCAACCGTCCTTAACTCGTCTCTTACCCTGTCTGATTCGTCACTGAAGGGTCAAGATGAATAACTGACATGTCACTACTCACGTCCATGTCTACTTCTTGACCCTGCTTGACCCTTAAGGGTTGGGAAAACCTTAGGAGCCAAAGTACAGACAAACTTGGTGTATTTTGTGAGGTTTAGAGGTTTTCAGGCTTCAGTGATTATTTTATATTAGGCCAGTCGTGTCAAATTGTTACTTGTGTGCGATTGTAGGTTGGGAGCTCAAGTACTCATTGATTTTGGACTTCACGTTATTCACTCACAACTTTAATTGGTTATCCCTAACTCGGTTGCAGCCTTAAAATGGAGCATGTTGCTAACTATGATTGCATAAGAGTCTTCTTTTCCACTTGCGGTTAACCGCAAACCGCGCAATTCCGGTACAGTCTGTAGTTTAGTCGTAGAACCGCAACTGTATTCCTAGTCCTACTTTGAGGGGACTCTTTAAGCAGAAATATGAGAAATCTACATTTTTCTAATACTTTAATGCCCAAAAACTACTATTTGCCACCCATAATTCTGAATAAGATGACACATTTGCCCTTTATCCCAGGGAACCGAAAACTTGAAGTGTTGCCAATTTGCCATCGACTGGGCGGAAGGCCTGTCATAACGTCGGAGTTGGTGAGGGTCTCAAGGGGTTGTGTTGTGTCATCTCACCCTGGACTAATAGCAACTCATTTTTTTTCAGACTCATATTCACCTGAATATGTGGAAAGCCTACTGCGTTCCCCTTGGGAGTTTAACCTTCTTTTTTTTCCCCGTAGAAATATAACATTCACTCTCTTCAAACATTTTGATTAATTTCGAAATGGTTTGTGGTACAAAAGTACAACCATATTCATTCATAAAACAAAAAACACAAAGAAAACCTAAAATCAAATCTAAACGACAAGGAAATCAGCAGTGCAGCCACAAGGATTCCTGGCACCAGCAATTACAAAAACATTTGTTGCAAATTCAAAGAAATGGAGTTGTCAGTCAAACCAAACATAAATGTTAAAGATTTAGAATTGAAAGGGGGTTGGGAAATCACAACTGGGGAAAGAAGGGTAGTAAAAGCTCAACGCCACAAACAATGAAAACAAAACACATTGTCGGGAAAAAGAAAAAGCTCAAATTACATTCGTGACTCCCTTCATACCGAGTTCATGCTGCCGGCCAAATTTTGTCGACTGCATACTCTGCGAAAGAGGAAACATCGACGAAGCCTAAGATCGACTTCTACTGCTTTCCGCATTTCGAATTGGGTAGAAATACGGGTGTGCCTGCATCATGCAACATTTTACAACAGCATTCAGTCTAGGGAACATGCAAGCATGCGTGATTTCAAGGAAAGGGACCTGATCGACCGGACAATCTTAATTGATCGGTAGAAGGGTTTACCATCGCTTCTTTTGCAGTTGGTCTCTCTTGGTGGTCATACCGCAACAATTTGTCTACAAAGTCGATTGCCTTTCAAGGAAAGAGAATCAATTCCAAAATTAGTTCTCAAGAGTCGCTTAGAGAGGAGCAACCACTCAAGTCAGCAAACAACTTCCTACCTCAGGAACTGCCAAATGCTGGTTCTCAGAGTTGATGAATTTCATCCATGGTTTCCGGCCATGCCTGTACAACAAAAGTCGAATGCTTTCAGCACAAAACTTGGAGTTCCGGGAGAAATAGCAAATTCACAGAAGAAAATATAATATGAGCTGACCTCCCGACAAGGGCAGAAAGATGTGGATCAATATCTATGCGGTACTTGCTCAAATATGCATTCAGTTCGTCTGTTCCCAGGATCTGTTGCACGAGGAAAATACCTTCAATAAGGAGCTTATTATGACATTACAAGGAGCTGTTAACAATTCACTTATCCTTTGATATTTCCGTAACAGACCACTCAGCTTCTCTCAGGGATTCAGCTCAACCGAGTAAATGGCCACCAAGGAAAAAACTTATTTCCCCACAACCAAAACCCACCGAACAGGACATAATAAAAGGCTGTCCCTGCTATGTTTTTTTTTTTCTTCTTCTTTCACTCTTACCTTTGCTATTTTGACCAGTTGATCATAATTATCATGACCGTAGAAGAATGGCTCCTTACGGAATATCTGCAGGAAAACGAGCCAAAACATAAGCAACAAATGAAAACCAGCTGACATATCCTAAGTCATGCTTATGATGGAGCAATGAGGATAAGCATAAAAAGTAGTGGTCGAAACACTGACCATTCCAGCAAACATACAACCAAGACTCCACAAATCCAAAGAGTAGTCATAGTCTTGCAAATCAACAAGAAGCTCAGGGCCTTTGAAGTACCTGCAGAATAGAAATCCTATCAAGAAACCAGGATCATATCACTTGTAGGAAATTTAGATAATTGAATATGGAACACTTCACGCTGTAGAAGAAGGCAAACTAGATTATTATAGTTCTCAAAGTTTATCCCTACAATATGTAAAGCATCAAGCTTTGATTAGAATAAAGGCATCTGAAACCAATATCCATATAGCGCACTGACAATTAGAAGACATGTTTAATATACTACAAGGAGCCAACCTTGAAGCAACACGAACATTGTATTCTTTCCCAGGATGATAGAACTCTGCAAGGCCCCAATCTATGAGACGGAGTTTCCTCTGCTCATGATCAATCATTACATTGTGGGGCTTGACATCACGATGCATAATACCTTGTGAATGGCAATAATCAAGTGCCTGCACAGGGGAAAAAAAGATGGATCATATTCGTCACTGAAAGGGTATTGATGAGTCCATGGCTCAGTTATTGTTAAACAGGAGGCAGCCAAAACACCTAACGCAAGATAACATTGTCCAGTTCATCCTTGCAAATTTTCGTACTCTGGCTATTGCCTGTTCTTTCTATATTTTCATGTCCCACTTATTTTATAAGAAAACTACAACATCACCAGCAGAGCTGTGCATAGGGTACCAGTATTGCAGATGAAAGAACTATTTCATTATATTCTTAACTATATATCATATCCCAATTTCGGAGTATAAATAGCTGACGCACCAGACCAAACACCTAAGCTCCAGGATATTGATAAAATGAAAAAAAGGGAAGAAGAGAGAAAAGAAAGGGGGACGATGAGTCACGTCTACAGAAAAGTGCTTAGTGATTCACATCTAACATCACCAATTGCACAAATAGCATCATGATCGCTACAGCAACCATCATTTCGAGCTTTTCAAACATGCAGAATGTGATATATGGGATTGACATGCATTTCAATTCACTAAAATAATAATATAGAAGAGACATCACCTTCAAAAGTTCGTAGATGTAGTATCGAATATCATAGTCCTGAAGTGTTGGATAAAGTACTTTGAAATCAGTGTTATTCACATATTCAAATATAAGACTTGGTGTCTTCGATTGCTGATCTCTAACAATATCAAGCAACTTCACTATGTTAGGCCCTCCGCATAGATTCTGCAGGATTTTTATCTCCCTCTTGATCTGCAAATATCATAAAGTTAAGTTAGATTCACAAATGTCAACACGTAGATAAACTTTGTTGAAGGAAAATAATTGATTCTTAAGTTCTGAAGTCAGCAAGCCAAATGGCTATTATATCAAGGACACCTTTCAAACAATACATCACTTAAGCGTCATTTGTTGGCATCTTTTAAATTGACAGACTGCCCTGTCAAAAGCTACAAGTCACCACAAACACATACCCTCTCCCAGCAAATAGGAAAAAATGGGGAATCTTGAAGGTTAGACTATACACAAATTCATACATGACTGGTAACAGGTGAAGTGTTTGAAAGAAGATAGAAACTACCGAATTCAAATGCAACACAATATTGAATACCCACGGAAAAGCTCAACAAAAAAAAAATGTACAGTAATCAAACAAACAAATGGCATACTCGCCACCATGTAACATGTCAAATCAAATGCCTTTATGGGACTCACCTTCTTCTTCTTAACAGGCTTAAGTATCTTAATGATACATTTTTCATTATCAGTGCAATGAACACCTTCAAAAACCTCACTGTATTTTCCTCTGCCAACCTTCCTCACCACCTCGTAATCATCTTGTTCCCTGTAGACACCATCAGACAACTTCTCACCACCATCCAACACAAAAATAACGCAGAACTGCTTTATAGGCTAAACATATAATAACCAGGACACCAGAAAAGAAAGTGTTATTGTAGGGCCTCAAAATCGGGGGGTAAGGAGAGACTAAATGGATAAAGGAGATCTCAGTTTTAACATTAATTTGCATGGATTATAACTACAAGCAACACAATGCATTCCACAGAATCCTATCTCACTTCAGTTAACTGTTCATGCATTACAAGGACCGCAACCTTACATTTGGAATACTATGGCAGCACCAACTAGCTAGAGAGTCACCTGAAGCAAAGCTACAAGTCAGCTGTGCGAGAATCAGTAGACTGACAAACCCATCAAATATGGAAGCATATTTAGTTGGTATTAAGGTTAAATTTCCGGACACAACATTGCCAAATCTTCAAACACTTAACTTACCCTAGCCAGGCTATGAACAAAGAACCAACCTTCAACAATAATCACGAAATCCTACGCCACATGAAGCTGAATGAATCCAAAGGATGCACGGAGATGTTAACAGGAACCATGGGTATTTCCATCCTAATCCGAGTTTCTGGCAAATATCGACCAGATAGATAGCTATCTATTTAACCTTTACTGAGATTAACATGCCCATCATTCCTACTTCCAATTTCCAATTTCTCGGCATCCAACCACAGATGAAACCGAAAAATGAAACAACTAAAAAATTTCAACAAGGAAACAAATATAAATTAAAAATGACAAGGGAGGGAAGCAAGTCAATTTACCCCCACAGAACGGTAAGCGTCTCATAGTCCCAGTACTCCTTAGGCCGGATAACGTTAACATCGGGATAAACCCTAGCCTTAGAAGGCGCACCAGGGCGCCGAATCGATTTCCCGATCTTCTGAGCCAGCGTGTCGGGTGTGGGTGCTAATGACCTCAACCGGTGGTAGAGCAGCGGCGGTGGGGAAGGCAGCGGCTGGGATTGCGGTTTCTGCTTCGGTCGCTGTTGATGTAGATGGTGGTTAGGTTTGGACTTGCGTGGAGAGAAGACGGAAGCAGCGGCGGCGGCGGTTGCGGAGGAGGCAGAAGAGGCCAATCGGCGCAGGAAGGCGACCGGGAGGAGGCAAGAGGCGGAGGAGAAGAAAAGAGGGGAGACGCCGCAGGTATGGCGGAGGAATACGAATTGGTGGTGGTGGTGTTGTTGAAGCAGCAGAGGCCCTATGGCCATTTAATCATGGTGGAAGGGGAAAAGAAAGAAATTTTGGTGGAAAATTAAAAACCAACTTTTATAACCGGAATCGCTTTCCTCCTCCGTATTCTCTTCTTCTCAATTTTCCCAGCTCCTCCTCGCTTCTGGTTTCTTTTTCCTTCTTTTTTTCTCCTTTTCTTTATCGCCCCGATAATAATAATTAGGCGATAATAATTAATTAGTTGCCCTGCATTATTATTTATTAATGACATATATGTATATTTCTGATCCCCCTGTCTCTTCCCGTCTTTTCTTGTCAGTGGATCCTTGTCACGACGTCGTGGCAAGTTATTGTAAGTTATACGGTGCCGTGTGTATTTGTTTCTCAATTTCCATAAGGGGAATTTGAGGCGCGTTTGAGGCCGGATCATGTGTAAGTACATTTCCGTCCCAATATTTAGCAATTGCTAAAGTGAGGTGGAGCCTATATGCATTTTTCTAGCAATTGTTAGTGATGTGGAGGTGCTTTCTAATCTAACAAAATTGCTAAATTAGAAAGTTTTCTAACAATACCTCATGGTAATTGTTGTCTTTTTTTATTTTTCTTACTTCTAACTTTTCTAACTTTTCAATGTGTTGAGGTAGATTAAAATAATAGATAGTACTCACATTAGAAATTGCTAGCATAATTTAGGGATATAGATAACTAGAGATTGATAAGTGATGAATTGCTAAAATTGATGATGTGGCTGTAGGGACCACATTTAGAAATTGCTAACCAATTTCAGGGATGGAGATGGTCTAAGGGGGTCCTTAGTCACTTGACTAAACTCCTCCTAGCCTTTAGATTTGGACACTCCAATCTAACGGTTAAAAAGTGGAAAGGAATTTTAAATTAGTGATATGGGTATTTTGGGTATTATGAAAAATTACGAAGTATACAAACCAGACTTGCAAACAACATAAACATACAAACATTACAAACTATAACTACAAAACATACAAACAGATTTACAAACAATACAAACAAGACCGACAAACAATACAAATTAGCCCGACAAACAATACAAACCTTACAAAATGAAAAAACAAACGGGTTGACTTTGGAGGCTCCATCCCTATATAGAGGGGCTCCGTCCCAAAGTCAACCCGATTGTTTTTTAGACATACAAACATTACAAACATGGTGTACAAAAATGACAAACTAGACCGATAAATCATACAAAATGGAAAAACACCTGGGTTGACTTTGGAGGCTCCATCGCTATATAGAGGAGGTCTATCCAAAAGTCAACCAAGTTGTTTTTTAGGTATAAAAAATATTACAAACATGGTTGACAAAGATGGTGCAAAAAAATAACAAAGCTTACAAAACATTACAGAATAAACCGACAAACATTACAAAGCATACTAACAGTACAAAATAACACTACTTACAATACAAATCCATAAAATTGTATTCCAAACCAATGAATACAAAGTATACAAATCATAACATAAAGTATACAAACTAGATTAACAAATATTATAAATCAAAATATATACAAATTAGTCATATAAACATTACAAACACAATAGACAAAAATAACAAACTAGAATGATAAACTATAGGGCTAATACCACTGAGAAACCCGAACTATTAACTTTGTGTCATTTGTGTCCTAAAGTATCCGATATGACAATTGTGTCCCAATGTATAATAGTTATGTGTCACTTATGTTCTGGCAATTTTGTTGACCGTTATAGATAACGGTTGACCAAACGATGGTCAACTTAATGTTGACTTTTTTTGGCATGGCGAAAATGTGGCAGCCACGTAGATGCCACGTCATTGACACCTCATTTTAATTCAAAATTAATTAAAATAAAAAATCATTAAAAATAATTTAAAAAACTCACTTTTTCCTTATTGCTTAAAAAAATAATTAAAAAATTAAAAAATAATTGACAGCCTCTTTCGGCTATCCCCTCTCCGAATCTGCCACTCCGGATCTCTTTTCCCTCTTTGATTCCACTACTCCGGCGAATTTAGCCAAACCTTCTCGCCGACTTCCTGAACTGAATTGTCGCCACCTCCTGATGAAGAAACCATCCTTGTGCGACACCCTATGAAGAAGACGCCGGATGTAGAGGAGGAAGAAAAGCCTCGCCCACTGCTCGCCGTCTCTTGGAATCCGTCCACCCAGAATCCACCATCGAGAAATCTGACCGGCGGGGAAGAAGGTTGGGTGGCTAAATTTGGGGAAATTAATAATTAACATGATAAAGTAATCAAATAATCAATTCCCCTGCCTCTCTTTCCTCTCTCGTTCCCTTGGTAATATCGATTCAATCGATTTCCTCTGCCTTCACAAGATCAAACTTTCCATTTCGAGCTTCCATCTAAACGATTGGGCTTTGGATTCTGCGAAAACGCTGTCACTTCCATTGGCGCAACCCTTCTCCAACCAAAAGCATCCCTCCCACGCCTCGATGAACCACATCTGAGGTTGATGGAAGCACCGTTTCCCTGTGCCAGACGGAGATCTGACCACCAGTTATCTCCAGTCGACGCTCTAGAGTATTGAGCTTCTTGTCACCGGAGGAAGAGCTACCGACGACGGTGGATCTGAACGCAGAATCCGGCTTGGGATTGAAGGGGTGGGTTAATCCAGCTTGGGATTGAAGAAGAGAACGATTAATCGAGGAAGAGAACGATTAATTGTGTCCCAAAAAATAATCCACAAATCATATATGTTTTTGTTTTTTATTTTTGTAATTTTTATTTTTTATATGAAAAATAATTATAAATTAATATTATAAATTCCACTTCATATGCCACATCAGCACTTACTGGATTTTCTATTAAAAACTAACGGTCAACGTCGGTCAACTCTAACGGAGAAATAGTTAAGGACACAATTGTCATATCGGATACTTTAGGACACAAATGGCACAAAGTTAATAGTTCGGGTTTCCTAGTGGTATTTGCCCTAAACTATACAAACCGAATAAATATAAACATTACAAACTAAACTTATAAACAATACAAAACTATAGGCTCGCCAGAAAATCCGCTCTGCCGCCGGAAAATCCGCTTCGCCACCAAAAAATCATAGACTCTCTCTCTCTGGGTGCCAAAAAAAACTCCACGGAGGCTCTCACTTGGGGCAAAAATCTCCAATTCCAGGAAAGGGATCGTCGGGGAGGGGAAAAAAGAATTCCTAGGCGGTCGTCGGCACTTTCCAAGAAACAGGAGGCCGACGGGAGCGTGGAAGGGACAACGCGTTTATCCTACTTTTATTTTATTTTAATTATTAAATAAATAATATGTGTAATTACCATCTTGTCTTTCATTAAATGAGATTATGAGTCATTAGATTTAAATGAGGTTGAAGGGTGGAGATTCACTTTGTCACCTGATCTGAGCCCGGCGCGACCCGGGTTGGACATGAGAGTTACCCCTGGGTAGAAGGTGCAATCACCGCCTGGGGATTTGAAGACCCGACTCGCTGATCGGAGTTGACAAATTGCAAATACCTTGTTGGTCTATGATTTCTTTCCTTTATGTGTTTGGACAAGTTTGTTGTTTCTCTAGTCTGTATAAAGGGTTAAACAAGTTTTAGGTTGGATATTGAAGAATATTGAGTTTATTTTGGTTCATTGAGATTTAGGCTTGTTAACTATTTCTTTGTATCAATCGAGTTTTTCCCTTGATTGTAGTCAAGATTCTACCCTTACATTGAAAGCAATGTTCAAGGAGACCCTAGGCGAGGAGGCACCGCCCAGCGCCTAGGCCGATTATTCGGTGCCTAGGCGAGATTAAACGTTAAAAAAATGATAAATAAGCCATATTCCACAAAAGCCCAAGTCTCCATATCAATATTCATCCATTCATATACACATACAACTCTTTTCAGCAATCCCAAACATTCCAAGTCGCCAACCATGAGGAGGGATCTCACTGCTTGTCGATGAGGGAGAGCGGCTAGTCGAATGGAAATGAGAAATAAAATAGGGTTTGGGTTTTTCATAAAAAGGCTACACTTTCCCCCTTTATTTGTTGTTCTGGGCGTCGCCCACCAGAGTGAAAACGCGCCTCCGAGCATGACGCTCCAAAAGCTCAGTTTGTTGAAACCAACAAGCGTCTGTGTACCCTAATCACCAATTGGAGACGCAACCTAGGGTTGATCCACCAGAGAATCCAACAGTTGTATGAGCTCAAACTGGAGCAAAGAATCAAGAGGGCCCCAAAGCAGAATGAGTTCAGAATTATCAAGCTTTTCTTAAAACCCCAGATTGGCAGATTCAACGGCGTCAACGAGCATCTTCATCATCTCTTCTTCATTCCTCCACCTATATGTCGCCGACAATGGCCCATCATCCCGCCGCCATCGTCCCATCGGTGTTCGCGACTAGTCCCCAATATGTGACCGCGCCGACACAGCCTAGTCCGAACATTACAGTCATCTCTCTCTCCTCACAAAAGCATTGTCGTGAAGGTCGTCCGTCATCCCGACGGTGATAATGAAGCGTCGCTGCTGTAGGTTTATGTTGGTTCTTCGTTATGCATGTTAGACGTTTAAGAAAGACTGGTTTTCGTCATCAACGCTCATGAATAAATTATTAAAGTTATACCACATCATTATTAATTATTGAAATATCATTATCATTGATTGACAACATCTTTATTAACGATTCACATTTCTATGTCATGTTCATAACTAACCAATCATGACCTCGTACAATGACTTCTAATGGCATTATTAATATTTTGCGATACGTTGATATCGCTTTATATTATCGTTCTCTAATGTCTAGGCGGAACAGTGTCTGGTTCACACTAGCTATCTTCATTATTGTTATATGCTCTTGGTTGTTGGATCTACTATGGTGTCTAGGCAGAATAATCTTACGTGACATGTTCTTAATTCTTGCTATTCCTGCTACCTATAAAAAGGTAGAATCGCAACCAAAAAAACGTTGAACCATTAATAACATACATGTATTGTGTTGAAAATGCATTTAAAATAATTGATAATGAATAGACATAGTGATTATTAACCATACAAAAAATTATTAATAACTAACTTATAAAACATTGATAACGGTTGTAGTGTAAACATGAAAATCCACGCTTTAAATCGTCAATAATATAAACCTATTTATTATTAATGGTGCGTTGAAAACCACATTTTAAATCATTATAAACATCTAAAA